TTCTACCCCGTATAGAAAGAGTGACTAACTGACTGACTTCACATTTGTGTTGAACAGAATCCGAATCTTGTTCTTTATGTTGGCTGATAGTGCAGAAGATTTCCAAACTGGTTTCAGGTTGATGAAGGTGTATCATGCCTTTCCGATTCTGCCTGGCTTCGACATTTTCACTCGTTCCGCCTGCCTGCGGTTGAAACCGTGCTTCCTAGCTGGATAAGTGAGGGACGCAGCCTCGGCAACAGTAAATAATAGACACCAACTTCAGATGACCTTGAAACAGTCAATCTGATTCTTCCAAGTGAAAAGTGGTAATTAATTTACAAAGAAGTGTATCTACGATATATATGTAATAAAAATGAATCATATAGGGTAAATATCTGTAATATGCTGCAAAAACTGGTCCCACTTTCTCATAGAAGTGGTTATAGACATATCAAACTAATGTATTCTTTATTTCTCAAGGTGTAGCAGATACTGGTTGCATATAAGCAATAAATTACTCCGGGAGAGCTTTGATTTCAAGAAGAAAGTGTCTAAAAAATCACCAATAATGTACGACTCACCAACTTATACAGACTTCCTCATATAACAGTGGTTGCATCTGAATGAATAACCAACCATCAATAGTCCGGCAATACTTTTGCAGAGTCATAATCCCTCCACCAAATATGCATGTTTTATTCCTCCCTATCAACCCATTTTCCACCGAGAAGTTAAAAACCAAATCTAGGAGACATGTTCAAAGAGGAATATGACTAGGAACCATTTGTAATGCTGAGCTACCTGATTGGCCTGATCAAGGTCATTCGACTTTGGTGTCTATTGATTACTTTAGTCGTAATCTCTGTCAAATGCCTCCTGTTGATGGTGATTAGTGTTGGTTGTTGTTGTTTTTGGCATAGAAAGGTGAAAATAAGAGATTATAGGTCATCAAAACAATTCACTTGTAGATGTTAGCCATGAGATATACTAATTTTTGAGGGAGGGTAAAAATACTTACAGAATTCAAGATCAGTTAATTCGTTGAGGTTAATGACAAGTAATTAAATAATCAATAAATTTGTTAAATAAGTGATGAATACAGTGATTAAGCAGAATTACGTAAGATACAAATAAGTGTTCACTGAGTGAACTAGAACTGTAATTATAATAAAATAACAAAACGTCAAATGATAAGATAAATTACAAGAGGGAAGAATCATTTGTGAAGCGTAACACACTATTTAGTCGGTCACAGCAAAGAAACGGCCTGTACAAATTGTTTTTCAACACAAACACAGATTTGGCTTGTTCACTCTACACATGAATTCTGATTGATTGCCTCTACTGTATGCGTAGATCTCATACTCGTAGAGCACATGAAAGGTTGAGTGAAATACGATAAATAACTTTAAAAGCTTTTTTTAGAGTCAAAATAATGCGTCCAGTATCGACGAGATGAGTTAATATTGAGGTGGGCAGGCAATATACTCACTTTCGGAATCTTGTCCCTCTACAATACAAAGGTAATTTGGTTAGATGTTTTATTCACCAGACTAGAGTTATTTTGTGGTGGTGTGATACAAACAACGTGTGCCAAAGGAATGTTATTCTCACATGTTCCTACAGTTTAATACTGCATTGGCAACAGAATACTGTTTACTTTTGAACATTCTATTTCATGTCATTAAATGTAAGCCAAAATCACACGCTCAATGATTGGTTAAAGAATATAAAACTGTATCTATATAAATAGTGGTTTGATCAATTGAAAATATGTCTTTCCTTCTGTTTCTCGTCTTCTGTTGTTACATTTGGTGTCGCGCTGCCTGTCGACAAATGGAAAGCCTATGCCGTGCACTATTTGAAGGGGACATACGGATTTTCTGGCAGGACTTCGAGGCTGTTGCACACTTGAATGCCGTTAAAGATCCGTCAGCAATGAGGCTGTTACTTTGAACGCTGCTGGGAGGTCGGGCGACACAAGCATATGACAGAGTGAGGCGAAACACCAGTGAACACGAACCAGGGTCATGCAAACTGCTCCCAAAGTGGGAAGAACCATATATGGTCACCGTGAGACGGGGTCACGTATATACGATCAAAAATGCAAACAAAGAGAAGCGGGTGAACGTCAGCCAGCCCCCGAAATCGATACAGCAAGACCAGCTAACAAAGCCGCCAGCACCAAGAAGACAGAACCGACTTCAATCTAAAGTATTTGACGGGAGGCGAGTGTGGTGGTGTGATACAGACAATCGGTGCCAACAGAAGGTTACTCTCACATGTTCCCACAGTTCAATTCAGCATTAACAACAGAATGCAACATATCTATTTGAACATTCTATTTTATGTTTGAGACAGAATATTATTCCCACTTATCAATGCTGCACTGGCAACAGAATATTATGTATATTTGAACATTATATTTGATGTCATTTAATGTAAACCGAAATCACACGCTCAGTGATTGGTTAAGGAATATAAACTTTACATATTCAAAGAGCGGTTTGATAAATGAAAAATATACCTTGGCTTCCGTGTCTTGTCTTCTGTTGTTACAATTTTTCCAAATGAAACGCTCATGAACGAAGAACTCATTAATATTCACAATCTACTTAACTAGAAGTACGTCGGTGGCACAGTGGTTAGGACTCTCGCCGACCATGCACATGGTCCGAGGTTCGATCCCCTGCCGACGCACACCCGATATCTATGGTTGGCCTGTAAAATTTGGGCTACCGATATCCATGCTGAAAATGTCATACTTGTACTGAAAATACGGTGTGGCATCAAGCTGTAACCCAAAATAAAATAAAAATAAATAAATCTTCCTACGATTAAAATTCAAAGGAGATATTAATAGTGAGATTTTACTACACTGTCTGAGAAAGGCCTTCAAAAAAGACTTTTAACACAAAGCTAAGTTGGACTGTTTATCCACTAGCCAACCAATCAGCTCTCGGTTTAAAGAATAAAGATAAACTGCCCTATGTCCTGTTATGACTGGAACTACGACCTAATAGACTAATGATGAGCGAATACGAACTTAATATGCTGGCTAATCCATCCCAATCGCACGACAACGACAACAACAGTAACACTGCTCCCAGGCCTCAAAAGACAGATGAGAAGACTGGACGTTGGTAAGACAGTTTTCACTTTCTCAAAACAACAGTTTAAAAAACGTTGACAGCGCTTGGGTTTTATATATATATATGTTTAAAATGACCTTGACGGGCACTAATGTCATTGGTAGATTACGATAGTGAACAACCAATAGGATTTCAAAGGTCATAAGTAGCATGAGAGAAAATTTGATCATAGATCAATAAGTGCGGTGAAAGAAATACAAATAGACATGTAGAAAATTAAGTCTATATGTCAATTCCATGCGTATACATTACAGTCGCAAACAACTCTTCAGATAATCTCTCTAGGATCATTGAAAGAGAGGTGATACGGTATAAATAGAAACATCCGACCGATAGCTGCTACCTTGACGTGATGGTGGTTAGGCTTGTATATCGCAATGACCCAACAAACTACACTAGCTGGAACTAATGTTCCTGCAGGTCCTACCATACCGGGAAGATTGTTAGGATAGTGACTAAACTACAAGCAGTTACCAGCATAGTGTAAGATTCCCTTTTACACTATGCTGAGGGTCTCTAGGCTAAAACGTACTGCTGGGGAACAGGGGATTAACAGCAGTACGGTGTTTCCCTCAGATGACCAGCATGACTGGAGAGAAGGGGTTAGAAAAGGTCGACTACAAGAATTTTACATCCTAACTTACCCTACAGTATGGTCCGTAGCCGACGATAAGTTACTAATACGGAACCAAACCTAAAAAGCCAGTTCAAACAGGTCGTGTGTGACCGGTCAGCCTCAAGCAGTTGTCCACCGGGGCTCTGCAGTAGTCATGCAACACTAATTCTATTTCAGGTACCCCAAGAAGAAATCAACTTCCACGATGTCAGTAGCGCCCACACACTTCCAAAAGCACAGGAAGCCCTCTTGATCATCATTCTCCTTTAACCAGACAGTTAATCAAATATAGAAACACAATATTATGTGTATACATTCTACAGACAGCAGGCAGCAAGGGAACAGGCATAAAATGGACCCACACAAAATACTTGGAGGATCTGGATCGCGATTTCGCCGATAATATATAGGTCTGATTTCACACAGATTGCAAGATATGCAAGTGTTTAAAAGCAACAAGTTGGCAGAAGAAGCATCAAAGATAGGACTTCCTTCAAGTGAACATAGAGAAAACAGAGGTTACGATGAAGATTCCTGGCCAACAGCAACAACAGACAATAATCAACATAAATGGGAGGAATCTGAAAGAAGCAACCTCTTTCACCTACCCACCCGACTGGGAAACATCGTTTCAACTAGAGGCGGAGGGAACTGATGAGGATATCTAAGCGCGTGGATCGAGAAAGCAAGGCAAGCTTTCACTACTCTCAAGTCTGTGTGGAGATCAACAGCACTCAGCACGAAAAATAAGATCCGGATTTTCAACTCCAATGTGAAGTCAATCAGTGCTGCTATACGGATCAGAGACTTGGCGTGTCATGAAGAGCATTTCCAACAAACTACAGATTTTCATCAACAGCTGTCTTCGCTTAATACTCAAGATCAGATGGCCGGTCGGAAAAGATCAGCAACAGGAATTTCTGGGAGCGAACCAACCCAGCAGGAACCGATTGTGTAACAAATATGCAGGAAGAAATGGAGGTGGTTTGACCATGCTGTCAGAAAACCATCAAGTGACATCACACGCCAGGCCATCGCTTGAGTGGAACCCGAATGGGAAGCGGCGAGTTGGTGGTCAGTGAGAGGGTGACATGGAGGAGAAGGTCATGAGAAGAGGAGATGAAAGCATGTGGGCAGACGTGAGGCCAGGTGAAAACGTTGGCAGAGAACCGAACGCAATAGAGACGTGCGGCTGAAGACCTATGTTCCTCTAGGAACTAAAGGAAACAATAATAATAATAATAAACACATTCTTTAAAATATATATGTTCACAAATGAATTCAAATAACATATTACATGCGTAAATAAAAAGATTTAAATATGAAGTAGTCAGACGCTTTTCTTTGCAAGATGTATCGATGAAGAGCTGATGAAAGGTACTCACTCTCTCTCTCTCTCTCTCTCAGTCAACCAACATACACTCAAACAGAAAGTAACTATATACATACACATAAACACAAAAATGAGATTGTTATTCACTATGAAGGTAGTGGTAGTAATAATAATAATAATGGTGATAATGAATGAGAAAGAAATCCAATCACTTTGAAAACTGTACATCTACAAACTAAACCCCAATAAATTGAACACAGTACTCAGAAAAAGGTAAAACATCTCAGATCATCACGCCATAAAGGTTAAACTGAAGAAGAATTGCAGGAGAAGAAACTAGCGGCAATAATAGATAAGACGGCAAGACTCCTAGTGTAATACTATGTCACCTTCATCTCTCCACTCCAACTACAAAAGTCACCGCCAACCGGCCCCGCCCCCCACCTCCAACCCTTAATTAGCCCGTCCAGCTGATCGATCTGATCCATGCATCAAATGACCAACACGTTTCATTTTACGCTCCATTTTCTTTTGTTTCTTCTCGTTCACTTGTGGTTGTTGATTTGGATCAAATATCCATGGGGCTAGTATATTCACCCAAAGGACATAGAATAATCGTCCTGGAATCTTTGGATAGGATGAATTAAAACAAGAAAAATAGACGATCAAACTAATTACTACTTAAAGCAAGAATAAGTAGTTCATGTTTTATCTAGAAAATATTAGAGCCTAGTTTGAGAGTCTTTACTAGTAGTGTAACGACAGAAGACAAGGGCCAGGCAACAGATCCTTTATTGAGAAAATCAACAGATATTTATAGATTTTTATGTACATTATTACGAAGGTTATTGTTAGCAGAGAAGCAACGTCTTCTGATTGGTTGTTTTCTTGCTGAAGGTTATACTGTCATCTCTTTGTGGCCGTTTCTTAGAAAGTCAGGCCACATATATGCGAATCGTATTTGCACACGTTTAGTCTGCTGTGATTGGTTGGTGATTTCTTCAAGGTTAAGATTTGTTATTGTTTTTCTCATGACCCTGATTCGGGACGTGAACATTGTTGTCTACAATTTTGGCTAGCGGACAGCTCTCACCACAGTAGTACGCTCCCACGCGACCCTACCCAACAGTGGTCGAACCTAAGACCTTCAGGTTATCAGGCTAAACTCGTTGAACATTCGACTAATTGGGCTGGGATTTAATGACCCATGAATTCTAACTTCTTCTGCTTCGCGACTTTAGCACGATCCCTACTCCTAGCCAATGTCATCATCGGTGAACATTTGTCTTCACGCCCGACCTGGCCAGAACTCCAGGCCATTTCATCCATAGCAGTCAGTCAGTCACTAGTGAGTATCAGATTAACTCTGACCAGACACTGAATTTCGGCCCAAGTGACTGGATGGTGAACGGACTTGGCCTGTTAATCAGAAGGTCCTGTAGGGTTCGATCCCCGCTTGTGCAGTCATGGGTACATATACATGAAGAGACTCAAACTGAAGTGAAACATCTCTCCAGTAGTCCCTGCTTTTCTTCAATACTTCTTTGACTGACACCAATACATGAACAATAATGAAATAAATCAAATCCCTACCAAGTAACTCGTGAAATGTTAAATCATTTCTAACAGGCTCTTTGTAGACTTTTATTAACAGCCACCTTCGTTGGCTCCATACCTAAGAATTAGATAGCCAGAAAGAGTTACTAACAAAAAATATGGTAACGAGCCAATCAATCACCTATTGTTCAAGAAGTATTCTGAAGAAAATGAAGATGGAGACTCGCTGATACACGCTGAGAATACTCTGTCAGGTAACATCGAACACCAGGTCCTTGAGTGGAACCCTAGTGGGAAGGAGATAGTGTGAAGAGGAGATAAAAGTTTGTGAGCGACCATAGAACCAACTGAATAGGGCTACCCAGAACACGACAAGATGGAGATATACTGTTGAAGGCCCATGTTCGCCTCGGAACCTTAAGCGATATTAATGGCAAAGCCAGGGGGAAAAAGAGATGGAATGTTGAGCATGAGACTAGCAGCAATCCTATTTTGTAAAACGAAACGTTTTCTTTCAATCCTTTGCATTCCTAGTGGCGCGCATGAGGTTTCAAGAACTAAAATTTCAGTAGCGGTAGTGCGTATGTGTTTTTTCTCCTATGCTGTAAGGTTTCTAACCTCCGTCTTCTTTTCCCCAGTTTTCTATCGATTAAGTGAGGTATCGGAGAGCATCGGTCGTATGCGGACCGCCTGACTGTCTAATGCGAGTATTTATTCTATCATTGGGCTACCGATATATATCACCATTAATGGTAAATACCTTAGTCTTGACGTCTTCTATCCAACTGACAAATGGCATCACAACTGACAATTGAGGTTAGACGTCGGGTGCTAAATAATAAGGGAAGGTGAACCGATCGACGAGGTTGTGAAGCAGGTGCATCTATTGAAATGCTTAAGACATGTGTTACACAAGCATCCCTAGCCATCCATCGCCTTCCTCGACAATGGGCAATGTTAGCTGCTGACATAGGACTGATCAGGTTGGAAAAGAAGTAGCACACTGCAGGGTCAAACCAAAACATGTCTTCATCAGTCAATGAAATCCACAAGTTAGTTTAAGCCAACCAGCCAGCCAGTCACGTAGGGAGGGAGGTGTAGACTTCCTGACTGACTGATTAGTTGGTTTCCTCAGGATGGTAAGAAAGAATACCAATGGCTGGAGACAATCGGTGATATGGCTGGCTGGCTCAAAGTGATCGTTCTCAATGGATGGCGCAGATACATTCACTCTCTGTGATTTATTTGTCATATCCAATAAAACTCCGTTGATCTTCCATATTACTATTCCTTTTGTCTCATATTTCTGTTTATTATCTCTCCCCTTTGAATCTCTCTTTACCTAATCTCTTCTCTTGTTTTGTGTACCACATGGAGGGAGTCTGGCAACTGGAACTGCTGCACATCTGCGCAAAGTTCTAACGTTGAAACCAATCAGTCAGTCAGTCTGAAGTCACAACATCACAACAGCTCATAATTTATTATCAGTAGCGATATCTGATTTTCGTAGAGAATGAAAAGAGAGCAAGATAAAAGGCAGTCATTTACTATACTAAAAACCAAATAAGAAGGAATGTCACATTTTCAGTGAAAACGTGAACCAAAAATACACACACACGTACGCACGCACGCACGCACACACACACAAACACAAACACACAGAGAGAAAAACCAAACAACTTACAACTAATAACAGGAACCAGAAGTATTGATGAATTAAACTTAACACTGTGACTAGACTGCACATGATTATTGTGTCCTTGGCATGCCTGAAATACCAGCAACAAAAGAATATATACATATATATATATATATGCTCAAAAGAATGGATACTGAACATAGAGTACTCTTTTCGATAATCCCTTCATCATCAGGCTCTACAGTTATATTTACATAATAGCAGTGAATGAATGAATTAGTGTAATGAACAACATCAATACTGTTTGAAAAACATCGAATCAATAATAGTAATAGCAATGGATTACAGTTCAATAGCATCAACAGCAAGAACGTAAAGTTCAGACCCATTGCCATCACTTCCCCGTTTCTAAAGCTTATGGAAAAACTAGTACTTCTTAAACTTGAACCCTCCCTTAAAAACTTTGAAGACCCGAAACAATTTGCCTATAGACAGGGTGGGAGCACTTTAGACGCTGCAGCCGTCGTATACAACAACATCGTCTCATCATTAGATAAAGGTGCCAAATACGTCCACTGCACATTCCTTGACTTCACTTCTGCTTTCGACTCTGTACCTAGATGTCTCTTGCTAAATAAGCTCTCTATGACAAAAACTGAGTCTTGGGTCACTAACTGGCTGCATTCCTACTTCTCTAACAGAAAGCAGTACACCATATACAAAGGTAAATCCTCCTATGCTGCGCTCACTGAAGCTGGTGTCCCTTAAGGTGCTGTACTCTCCCCACTTCTCTTTTCTTTCTTTCTACATGACTTACTATCTTCAAATGACATTAATTTTGTCAAATATGCTGACGATCTGACAGTATCTTTGCCTGTCAAATTTCAAAGTGACTGCTCTAAACTAAATGGCTTTCTATCAGAAATCAGCCAGTGGTCCAGGGAAAACGGTCTTACCTTAAACCCCTCCAAATGCCAAACAGTCAATTTCACCTTTAGGCATAAATCCGACCTAAACAAACTGGTTGGCTCTCACGAGGTGTGCGACATAGATGGCACTGAAATAGAAACCAAGTCGGAAATTAAATACCTAGGCATCATTCTATCTGCTGATCTCTCCTGGTCGTCTCATATCTTGGCGATTTCTAAGAAAATATTTCGTCTTATCTTCTACATCAAGAAGTTAAAACATTCTGGTATAACTCAACCCTTACTCCTACAATTCGTTAACTCTCGCATTCTGCCTATTATTCTCTATTGTTCCCCCTTAGTTTTCCCCGGGCTACTGAAGAAAGACTATAACATATTACGCAGGATGTTAAAGGTTGTCAGCGGGGTAAGCAACGTGCCACTTAACCAGCTTGTTAATATTCTGGTTGACAGGCACATGGACTCATGTGAAAAATGGGCCAAGTCCATTTTATCTAACTCACACCACCCTCTTCACTCACAACTCTCCCCTTACATCTAATCAGGGAAAACCAGAAGCCTATATAGAAAACTATATGTTCGCACCAGCAAGTACAAAAACTCAACCATACCCTACTTAGCTCGTGTTCTGTGCGATAAAGAAAGCATTAGGCGTGACACCTATAATTCATTAAATAGTCAGTAGTACAACTGGACCTCGTCTTTCCAACTCATATCATTTATAGGTACAACATTTTCTTTCTTTCTTTTCCTTTTCTCTCTCCCTTTTTCCGTTGTGCTGCTTTGTTTCTTTCTTCCGCTTACGCCAGTAAATATGACAGTACCCACTTTTCTAACACCTTCAAACACTGTTCAGCTCTGGCTTTGCTACCGACATGCCAATATGTTGTTGTCATAATGAACTGAGATTTCTTTAATCTATGTAGAATTCTATTTATTGATAATGTACTAACTGGATGCAATACTGTAGTAAAAATGCTGAGAATTCCATTCTGTATCACAGGTACTGTTTTGGAATAAAGCAAATTATTATTATTAAAAAACATAACACTGCACCACACTGAATATCAGAAAAATTAGGAAAGATAATATTACAAATTCATGAATTTATAGTCTCCACTGAAGGCTGGCTTTGTGGCACCAGATGGTCCAATATCGAACTGTTAATGGTTTTCACTACATCTTTACTTAGCCATAGTGGGAGATATTCTCGAGCAGTAAGAATCAAGTTCCTACAGCAACGGCCGATATAAGTCGCTCCACAAGCGCAGTTGAATTGGTAGATACAATTTGAAGTGACTAGTCTAGTCTAGGTACTTCATTCTTCAATTAAGCGATCACCATCGGTCGTGTAGAGAATAAGACGTGTATTTCGCCACCATTAAAAGTTCTTTGAACTGATTTTCTTAATTTCTTCATAATTATCTCACTTGGTCGTATATAAAGAGGCTTCTTGTTTACGGATAGTGAGTAGTGAGTAGTGTTTAGAAAATATATAAATAAAGCTAGAATATACTTTGGTTGGTGTGCATCGGTGGCACAGCAGTAGAATGTTAGCCGACCACGCACGTAGTTTGGGGTTCGATCCTCGGCCGACTGACTCACTCCTTTACCTCGCTTGCTAAGCCAGTAATCAGGCTGGTAAAGGGGAAGGTTGGGCATGAGGCTAGCAACCCTATCCTGTAAAAATAAACACCAGTGCTACCGAAACTTCCAAGCTTTAGCTTGAAGCCCCCCGTTTTCCACTGGGAACGTGAAGGAATAAAAAATTATTTAAAAAATACTTTGGTTGGTGGTAGTAACTAGCAATGGTCTCCAGGATGGACATCTCGTCCTGTTGGATAGTATAAATAACATCAGTGTTACACGAGAGGTCACGCTGACAGTCCTTATTCCCGGGTGCAAGCTGTGTTCGAGTTTCAAAGTGGGACGTGATAACTGGCTATCAACCAAACGATGTGTGGTTAGTCATAATATATTTGTAGACTGTGGGTTGGGAGGAACTGTCAAGTCAGTTCAAGGTTTTAAAATGTGTCAGGTGAGTGATTGGCTAGTAAAAAGTGGTATGCATTAAAGAGGAGGAGATAGTAATACTGCAATGAGAGGTTCATAATGAAATAACCAATGTGTGAAATGAAACAGGCGGAGGCATATATTGAGAAAAGAGATGACAATACAGCTTTCTGGGTTTTATGCCGAATTTTGATGTCGTTATCAAGCACAGTTCGCTTACATCTCCTAAACATAGCTGAAGCTGTTGCAATAAGATCGATTAAACCGGAAATGTGTATCCAGAAAGAACACGTCCTACCGCGGCCAAACTTGAACTGATGATTCTTCTGCTCACCAAGAGTGCTTCTTTCCCTTAACCCTCTCGGTTTTGTTTTTTTCTTTGCTTATTATTAAAATTATTATCATTATTATTCGTCATAATTTACACCCTTTATTCAAACATTCTCTCAACACTATCAAATTTTCCATTTATACTATCTGGACTTATTATTAGTGATATTTTCTCTTTTCTCAATATATGGCTCCACCTGTTTCATTTCATATATTCGTTATTTCATTATGAACCTCTCATTGCAGTCTTACTATCTCCTACTCTTTAATACATACCACTTTGTACTAGCCACTCACTCACCTGACACCTTTTATAACCTTGAACTGACTTCTATGTTAATTTTTTTCTACCCCACATTCTACGAATCTATTGTGACTAACCACCACTATTGTCTCCTATTTCCTAATATTTTGTGATCGATCACAGCCTCTACCGAGTAAGTCCCATTATTCACTGCTTTTGCGAGGCGCTGTTGTCCCTCACAAAAATGAAACAGTCAATGCTAACGAAAGTTCGGTGCTTACAAGTTGATAGGTAGGCACAAGCAGTGGTTTGCCTAGGGAGAGGAGCTAGAAAACCCTAATTTCAAGTCTATGTGCTGTACATGGCCCTAGAATCCGAAAGAGTGGAATAGAATATCAACCTGCTTTGGTCAATGCAACCATAGGAAGGTAGGTCCTGATGCTGCCCTACTGTTATGTAGATCAGGCGTCAAGTCAAAAGCTCAAGAAGTGACCACTTAAGACAACCACCTACTCTAGTCTAGGCGTCCTTGTAGTATCCTATCACTTTTACAAAATACAAGACAATTTTGTGTAGCGCATCACTTGGTGCCCATAATGTACTAAGTATGGACTTCGCCGATGATATATATATATATGTGTCTGATTTCCCACAAACTGGAAGATATGCAAGCGAAAAGCAACAAGTTGGCAGAAGAAGCATCCAGAGAAGATAGGACTTCAGGTGAACATAGAGAAAACAGAAGTGATGAAGATTCCTCGGCAACACCAACAACAGCAACAACAACAGACAACAATCAACATAAATAGGAGGAACCTGAAAGAAACAACCTCTTTTACCTACCTGGGAAGCATCGTTTCAACTACAGGCTGACGGAACTGACGAGGATATCAAAGCAAGAATCGGAAAAGCAAGACAAGCGTTCACTACTCTCAAGTCCGTGTGGAGATCAACAGCACTCAGCATCAAAAATAAGATCTGGATTTTCAACTCCAATGTGAAGTCAGTCAGTGCTACTCACTATACGGATCAGAGACTTGCACTGCGCGTCATAAAGAGCATCTCAAACAAACTACAGACCTTCATTAACAGTTGTCTTCGCTCAATACTCAAGATCAGATGGCCGGCCAGAAAAGATAAGCAACAGAGATCGCTGGGAGCGAACCAACACAGTAGGAACCGATTGTGAAACAAATAGGCAGGAAGAAGTGGAGATGGATGGGCTGGCCATACTCTGAGGAAACCATCAAGTGACATCACTAGAGAAGCCATGACTCGAGTGGAACCCGGAAAGAAAGCGGCGAGTTGGTCGTCAGTGCAAGGGTGACTTGGAGGAGGTCATGTGAAGAGGAGATGAAAACGTGTGGGCAGACATGGAGCCAGGTGAAGACTTTAGCAGAGAACCGAACGCAATGGAGACGCACGGCTGAAGCCCTATGTTCCTCTAGGAATTAAAGGAAACAATAATAATGTGTTTTAATAAATAAATAAATAAGTGTGCCAAGCAACATATTCAAAAGTAGAATAACCAAACAACACAATACTACTGGGAAAAGATAACCACTTACTCTCCAAGTCCACCAGATCCTATATTTAAATCTAATCCAGCATCTACCAACTGGCGAGTACCACGTTCATTGACAGCATAGGATGGTGTAGCCATATAAGACATAAATTTATACGCCGCTAAACATACACTGAAACATCCTACTGATAAAGCGATATAACGCTTTGTAAATGTTGACCAGAAAAATGTCAATGTTATCAAGAAATACACAGCCTAAAGAAGCAAAAAACAAAACAAAAAATACAGAAAGAGAAGATATAGAAACATTAACATGAATTAAAGTCTGTTAGCATTACAAACATCAGTTTACCAAATAGCTCTTTGAACAACCTTACCAGAAATTTTTCTGGGTAGGAATTCAATATACATCCCGATGCATTGAAGTACATTCAACTATCAAATTTAGAACAACACATTTAAGCGAACAATATTGTGGTTTCAATTAGATCTCATCAGGCTTAACTCTAATATACATAACTTCACAAATAAAAATTCAAATATGATAATAGTAAAATGGTGCATATCAATTGTGTAATTAGTCATAATAGTAGTAACAATAATAATAATAATGGTTTTGTCAATAACAAGGATGAAAAAGTGAGGCAATCTGTGTGATAACACGAATAACGAAAAACAGCCTGATTAAACAAACAAATGTTCAGATAGACGTGGTAGTCGATAAAGGCTAAGAAAAACAAGCAAATGAACTGATTAAGTAATGCTAGATTGTAAATGAAACACGTTTTTAATGAAGATGTGATAATAGGATTAAGGGATGATAAGAGAGGGGTTGAAAATATAAGTAAGGGATGGTGTAGAAGTCATCAGTTGGTTATGTCTTAATAGGCCAACACGGGAGGGATAATGGCTGTGTACGAACTTCTTTTGAATGCATAGTTTAGATTTAACAGTTCGAATGTCTATCGCCTGCCTCAGACGAATACGAAGTCTATTGGAAAGATTCCGTAGGATACGATGAATTACTTTGAAAGCTCTCGTCTTCTCTATTACATAACCACTATCAATTAAGTGTGACAAAATTGAGCTACAGATTGTTTTTGTCTGTCCTTTGCCAAACCACGATGGGAGATGTTCAGTAGTGACAGGTTGGCTGGCTAAGCTGTCTAGTAGTACGCTCAACATAAATGTCACTGAAGGTGCAGTTGAATTCATAAATGCACATATATGTGGCAAAACTATCTAGCTTATTCTTCGTTTGCGTTCCAATCATTCGTCGGCTAGAGAATTCATGTGTGTGTGAAGAAGAATTCCAAAGTTAAACTGCCTTTTTTAACGTCCTACTGACAAGAAGACCAGACGATAATATAAAATATAAATTTGTATAACAGAAGTAATTGAAGCAATCAATATACATATTTTCACATATTTGTTCCTCTCCAGTATAGAAGAAATATTGCAAAGATCCTTAGCTATATAAAGGGTCAGAGTTATTTGTTCAGAAGATACCACACGTTGAGTGAAAGCAGATAACCTGAAAAGTTCATCACTAAACGCATGGCCAAGAAAGTAGGAAAGAATTCTTCTGTATCTGTTTACAAGAAACCTATATATATATATATATGACTATATATGAGGTTAGGCGTCGAGTGCTAGGTAAGGAGGGGAAATCAATCGACGAGGCTGTGAAATTACATCGTCTGAGATGGTTAGGACATGTGCTACGCATGCCTAGTCATCGCCTTCCTCGACGGGCAATGTTAGCTGATATAGGGCCAGACTGTAAAAGAGGTAGCGGCGGTCAAACCAAAACGTGGCACCAGTCAATGAAATCTACAACAGTTAGTCTAAGCCACGTAGGAAGGTGTAGACTTCCTGGCTGGGGTCCTCGGGACGGTAAAACCCAATGGTTGGAAACAATTGGTGACATAGCTCAAAATCATTGTCAATGGCGCAGATGCATCCACTCCTTGTGACTTATAATACCCAATGAAACTTTATTGTTCTTCGTTACTACTATACCTTTGTCTCACACCTCTGTTTACTGTCTATATTATGCATTATTCCTACTTTCTTCTCTTGCTTTGTGTGCTACATGGAGTGTGGCGACTTGAACTGCCGCACACCGGTGCAGAGTTCTATGTCGAAAACAGACAGACAGACAGATATATATGACTACAATTTAAAGGTGATATATTAAGTGAAATAATAACTAATTAGTTTAGAAAATCAATTCCATGAACGTTTAGTACCAGAGAACTGTAGCTTACATCTTTCACACAACCAGTGGTGATTCCGAAAATAAAAGATGGAACATCTAGGCTAGCTACGTTTTATTGTATGTATCAATTCAACTAATCCTGTGGAGCCAGTTATATTTGCTGTTGCTCTAGGAACCTAATTGTTCGTGCTCGGGAACATCTACTAGTGTGGTTGAATAAAGTTGCTAAAAATGTCACCGATCACAAAACTAACATTAAAGTCTTTCTCTATCATCCAGTGAGTATGAAAGACATTACCAAAGACCTCTAGATATGTAACACTCCAAACAGTAGAGGCTATTACAATTCGCCTAAAACAACTGGAGCTTTGTGTGAGAAAGAAGCAGATCAAGCTATTATGGCTACTCTGGTCTGCTGTGGAATCTATAAATTCATAAATTTTTGTTACTTCCTTTAATTCATCTGATACTTAGTTTAGTGTTACACTGATGAATATTATATTGTAATGATACTTTTGAAATGTAATCTGTCAATACTATTGATTTAATGTCATACAGACGTAGAACCCGATGACAAATTCATTGGAAAGAATATCCTTCACTCAATATTCAATCTTTTAGGTTTGTTATGGGAATCTTCAGTGAGTTAGATCACCGCTGGAGACCTATATATATATATATATATATATATATATATTACCTGAAATCAGAATTTAAACTGAAATATACATCATCTAGCCTAGGCAACCTAAAGAGTGAGGTATTAACTATCCAATATCCTTTCTATGAGCTAGTTTAAAACTAATTTGACTTCTTTGTGCTCGCTTCTTGATTGCGAGGTATAGGTTGCTGGCCTTCGGTAAACGTCTGCGTAGTTCGTTCCGCTACTCGACTGTCGTGGCTTTGCTTGACTCCAAAAGGAGCAGTGCTGGGATTAATTATACGTTGTTTGTAGTATGTGGTGTGTTAAAACTTTTTGGTACTGCGAATGGAGTTGATCCTTTCACTAGTTGGTCCTCCGATGCCGTCGTCAAAAAAAATATCTCCAACTTTAACAAAGACGCTTGGGATTAATTGCTAAACAACATAATGAATGCTGCTTCAACCGTCAAAGCTAAGGGAAAACACCGAAATTTCATGCTACAATTATGAATTGTGAATAAGCAGCAAAGATATTTGAGTAGTTATTTAATATTAACCCCATTTCTACTTAAAAGTTCCTACGGTAAAAACAACCTTCCTTTCAGAATTGGAATATCTAGGATAAATAGGTATTAAATAAGTCTTAAGATGAAATAGATTATGAAAGTAATCAAAATAAATAACATTGATATAAAACCTGTAAGTGTTTACTCACATAAGAAGCAAGAAATAGATAACGGTAAAACCTTAGCGTTCGTATATTTTCCTCATGAATGAACTTTTCGCTTTTCGTGCCTTCTTTGGGTGGTTTCTTTGGGTTGATCATAGCCACAAAACGTGGCCTTGGTGTAGCAAATAATCTGAAAGTAGCGCTAAAGAGGATGCTCAGTGTACTTCATTCAAAATGTCTAAGGAACAGAAATACTCTTCTTAGCTGTGGCCAGTTTCCCTTAAACAGAATTAATTTGCACATTTTTATTTGTTGGGGTGTAGAAATATTGTGTTTCCCGAAGGTTTAAGCCATAGTATGCTCAAACTTCGCAGGACTATTACAGAGTAAGACAATAAGGTTAGCAGACTCTTGAACTGTGCTAATACTTGCAATATATATCTGTGCTGACATCTCATTGCTCTCTGAAAGCGCTCAATGATAAAGCTGATATTACTTGGCAGGGTAAGGAGTGCCAGTCGTTGACAACCTTATGAGAGAATCTAAATTCCATACGTTTTTATTAGTCCAGGATTTCAGTAACTTTCCCTCGTGTCGTTTTCCAAGGCACATATCTTGAAAAGAGTCCACAGGGGAAGGACTTTCTTGAGGCGTGGGCTAGCTTCCTATGCACATTACTCTAGATGAGTCTTGACATATGTTGCTTACAGCACTTTGAACATAGATTATCTAGTCGTCTGCATGCCATTCGAAGTGTGCACAACATTCGAAAAGCCTCAGCCGTATTACAACACACAGTTACTTTCAAACCATGGGTGAGAGCGATTTCCACGTTCCTTTACCATCTAACGTCGGGAAGTTCTGTGTCCCCCAGGGAGTATAACGTGTAGAAACCCTGACCTAACTGCACAGGATAAGGTACCTGAGAGTGTTGGGCTGAAACTTAGAATCAGGTCTTGAATTGATAAGGATGCCTGGGCTAGTAACAGATACGGTGATCACTAGTATTGCCAGCCAACCACCAAAGCTATAAAACGGCTATTCAATGGAGGACACACAACAAGAGTGAGCCAGTAAAGAGTACTTACGCAAGAAAACAAAGAACGAATACAAGGGCCGACAACGTAGGTGCTATGAAGGGTAATCCTTTCTGTCTGTCTAACTACGAGGACTCTGACTGGTCCATTTTTGAGATAAGTAATCGATCTACATGTTGCCGGTGATGAGGCTGTCAGTGAGGTCGCTGAAAACTAGTCAACGTGGTCGTTGAAGAAATCAATTTTGCTGTCACTCCACAAATAATTTGATCAAGTCATCAGTTGGTGTTTAAGCGGTATTATGTTGATTGTTCCATTTGGTGTGCATTCATACGCTCACCTGCTCTTACGGAGCAAGACACATGCGCTTTTGCTTCTGAGAATACCTCCCGTCCTCGCTGGGCAAAATAAAATGCAGAGGCGTTAGTTCGTCCTAGGTACTATATATAGCAAACAGCCATAGGCTTCTGATACATCTTTCAACATGGTTTATAAATTCCGATAAAATATGACAAAAGGTGTACTTGTGGGTTTGCTTGGCGCACCAGGAGGAATTGACAGTGCGTTCTGCTATAACCTTGTACTAACCATTAGTACGTAACACTATAAAATTCAATGACTATAAATTCTTAGTAATAAAAAAGGGAATGAACGCTGTGTTCATCGCATATTGTTTGTTTAAATTATTAATATTTACTGGCTGCCTCTGCACACCTTTTATTGTGTCTTCTCTTTTCGAAGGTACTGCATTGGAGCACTGCATATGTAATGTTGCTTTCTACGTTTGTATTACTTGAACGGAGTTTTGAAATCACTGGAACCTGCATTAATCAGATATTCAGATTATTGCCAGCACATATGATGAATAACGGAACAACCTTCTTCATGAAATCTGTTTATCGTCGCAAAGCTGATCCCTGATTAACTAAAAAGGATTGTCAGTGTTGCATTCTATATGTCTTACTCTAGCAGTTGTGTATCATACTTCTTACTTTCCAGCAGAGCAACCTTTTGTAATTACCACGTGAATTTGACAGGCTATAAGTATATTAAAGATTTAAAATCAAATTTAAACCAATATCTTATAACTTATTCGATTAAAAGCAAACATTACAAGTGACTTACATAGTTGACTGAATTTCCTTTCTTATTTCAATATTCATGTCATAAAACAGTGTTCAGTCTAAAGTTGTATTTGTCACATATGATCATGCCCACACAAACGGTGTGTTAATCGTGCAAATGCTAAATTTACGTAAATAAAATATTATATTACACCATATTCCAGAGGCACACTGGGTTATGGAGCAACGATTCGGAGAGAGGAAGCAGCTGTTTGTTTTTGCAAATAATTTCAGTTGGATTACATTAGGGCCGAAACAACGTTTTGAATTAGCGAACAATGTTTTATGTTGTCCTGCTTCGAGCATCGGCGAAATACTGAGCACTCTTAAAAAGCCATATGACAGTGAATTTAGAGACATTGACGGTCTAAGTGAGGCAAAACGGCGCTAGAGGTGATTGTTGGCTCCTCCAGACTTTTCGACAGCCACTCTGAGGCAAGACTACCGCGGGAATATGACCGTCCCAATCCATCAGACAATTATGCAATGGTGAGCCACAGACTCGAGTGTCCCAGAAGACGTATTTCTAAAGACTGTGGACCACCGAATAGATATAAAGAAGTCATGGTGAGGCATTTTTGGAAAGAATACATTGTAGGAGCTGCCGGATTGCATGCTTATCTGGAAAGAACACAGTGGTATATACCTCATCATCTGCTTATGCATCCTAAAATGTCTAAAAAGCTTCGAGTAGTTCCTGGCTGTGATGCTACATACAGTGATATATCTTTGAATGATCTCTGGGATACTTTTATGTTCCCAAGGTGGTGTTGTAGCGTTTAATGCTAACACAACAAATGTTTTTACAACTGAAGATTCTGAGACAAGATAGATGGGCATTCCGTCTATTATTTCAAGTACTACATATCAAATTTATATCATATTATATTTATATATTATATTATTACTCTACAGCTTCTTCTTTTATTTATGTTGCAAATATACTTCCAATAATGTATTGTTCATAATTGCATTTTATACCAATTTGCAGCTGCGCAGAGTTCTCTTCTCTTCCTGAAATAACGTTCAATCACTTGGCGGCATAACACTCACCCAGGTATACGCTGTTCACTGGTTGACCATAACTATCAGCAGGAAACGAAACGAAGTTTCGGTTGCCGCTCAGCTTTGATGGTGACCTTAGTAAACTGTTTACAATTTAGCACCTATAAGAACCTGTTCTGATTGCTTGTGCAACAATTGAACAATTTAAACTTTTTAAAAAGTATTAATTTTTTATACTTCAGGATTGTAATTTATGACATTACTGATCGTGCCTGTATAAATGGCATGCATTTCTTGTAAACTTACCCGTTTATACAAAATATAAATTATAATTATGGTGGAAGGATGGCGACATAGCGCTAGGGGATTATAACTATGAATTAACTGTACACCCATTCGGTGCTGTGCGATCTCCTTTCTGTACTAATTATGCCTCAAGAAAGGCCATTGAGACCACTGGTAAAGCCAAATCAGGTTTATTCTCCAGGCTTGTGGACAGGTGTTTCTGTGTAGATGGTTACTTAACATCAGCGGATAATCTTGAATAGGCTACTTTCATAGTTGGACAGATGAGATCTATTCTTGCGAAGGGAGGTTTTAGACTGATGGGATGAGCTATCAACGCCATACAAGTAGAGGAGTGTATACAGCCAGAAGAACTGGCACTAACAGGGAGAGAAACAGACTTTAAAAAATACACCCTTTTACGCACGTTAGCTTTGTAATGTGACCGGAAGGAAGATTCTTTTGTTTATAAAACCCATATACCTGATAAACCCATAACCAGGTGCGGGATTTGTCATTGATACCCTCGTTTTATGAACCTTTAGGCTCTTTGATACCCATAGTCTTACCTGCTTAACAACTACTACAAAGATTATATAAACTGGCTTTTGGTTTGAACGGCGAAGCACCTAAGGAGGAAAGCAACGTCTAGATCAAATTTCTGCATAGTCCTGAAATGGCGCAAATGTACCACTTCCACTCTGTCCAAAAAACTTTGTATATGAATCACTCGATTAAGGAATTACGTATATTTTGCGATGCATGTGGCTAGGAAGCGGTAGCCCATATTAATATTCTAGAGATCATAGAAATGCATGTTATCGTCTTATTATGGAGAAAGCCAGGGCAGCATCTCTGCACAGACTTCATCCTACCTTATTAAATGGCTTGATCTGTATAGGCGTCGATTACAAAACCTGTCTTGAAAGGAGATACTAAGTAACACTACGTTCAAGACTTCATGCCACGTGGATTCTAAGACACTACCACAACACAGAATGGCATGTGGGTGCTACACAGGTACTGGCGACTGTTAAAGAAGGGCTTTGAACATTAAGGGGTGTGGCGATGAAAAAGTCACCGGGAATTTTATGCGGCGTAGACGTGAAAGTGTTAAGTCAGAGTGTCGGCTGGTGGCACCCTTGCCGACGGCTAGAAATGAGGTGGACAACTATCCTTTCCCTCCAGTAGGTAATAACCACTCCGGGTAGACAACACTGACCCTGAGCAAAAGATGCGGAAAACGCCACGGACGTATTTTCACCTATCTGAAATTACGAGAAGCCCATCCAAAGTTGGCACACAATCTACCCGCGGACTGCTTTGTAGTGGTGCTGATGAGGTTTATTCGTAGGAGAAGAAACCCAAAGGGAGTAGTTATCGTAGTGGTCACAAATATGAATCGCTCCGATCCGTAAAACAGCAACATGCGTTTTTCGACAGCTCGAGAATTAAACATTAGCACAGATCCTCAACAAAAAACAGTAAGGATTGTACAGATCTAAAAATCTTTAAAGATGCTTTCGCCCCTCACATCTACAAGCCTGTTTAGCATCTTGTCAAGATGCTACCCCGCGGGCTCTACAGAAATTCGTGAGACATCTTACGGTTTGGCTTGTCCTACGGGTTCTAATCTTCCAGATCTTTGAATTCACTTCTCAGTGGAATTTCGCTTATCTACTCCGTGATAATCTTTTTATTTACG